GCTGTAGTGGAGCAGGTTGAGAGCTTCAAGTTCCTTGGTGTCCAAACACACCAAGACAGTCATGAAGAGGGCACGACAACACCTATTCCCCCTCAGGAGACTGAAAAGATTTGTCATGGGTCCTCAGATCCTCAAAAAGTTATACAGCTGCACCATTGAGAGCATCCTGACTAGTTTCATCACCACCTGGTATGGCAACTGCTCGGCCTCCAACCGCAAGGCACTAGAGGGTAGTGCGTACGGCCCAGTACATCACTGGAGCCAAGCTTCCTGTCATCCAGGACCTCTATACCAGGCGGTGTCAGAGGAAGGCCCTAAAAATTGCCAAAGACTCCAGCCACCCTAGTCATAGACTGTTCTCTCTGCTACCGCACGGCAAGTGGTACCGGAGCTCCAAGTCTAAGTCCAAAAGCCCCCCCCCCCCCCCACTCTCTGTTCATTATCTATGCAGTCACTTTACCTATACCTACATGTACATATTACCTCAATTACCTCGACTAACCTGTGCCCCCGCACATTGACTCTGTACCGGTACCGCCTGTACAGTGAGGGAAAAAAGTATTTGATCCCCTGCTGATTTTGTACGTTTGCCCACTGACAAAGAAATGATCAGTCTATAATTTTAATGGTAGGTTTATTTGAACAGTGAGAAACAGAATAACAACAAAAATTCCAGAAAAACGCATGTCAAAAATGTTATAAATTGATTTGCATTTTAATTAGGGAAATAAGTATTTGACCCCCTCTCAATCAGAAAGATTTCTGGCTCCCAGGTGTCTTTTATACAGGTAACGAGCTGAGATTAGGCGCACACTCTTACAGGGAGTGCTCCTAATCTCAGTTTGTTACCTGTATAAAAGACACCTGTCCACAGAAGCAATCAATCAATCAGATTCCAAACTCTCCACCATGGCCAAGACCAAAGAGCTCTCCAAGGATGTCAGGGACAAGATTGTAGACCTACACAAGGCTGGAATGGGCTACAAGACCATCGCCAAGCAGCTTGGTGAGAAGGTGACAACAGTTGGTGTGATTATTCGCAAATGGAAGAAACACAAAAGAACTGTCAATCTCCCTCGGCCTGGGGCTCCATGCAAGATCTCACCTCGTGGAGTTGCAATGATCATGAGAATGGTGAGGAATCAGCCCAGAACTACACAGGAGGATCTTGTCAATGATCTCAAGGCAGCTGAGACTATAGTCACCAAGAAAACAATTGGAAACACACTACGCCGTGAAGGACTGAAATCCTGAGGGGCCCGCAAGGTCCCCCTGCTCAAGAAAGCACATATACAGGGCCGTCTGAAGTTTGCCAATGAACATCTGAATGATTCAGAGGAGAACTGGGTGAAAGTGTTGTGGTCAGATGAGACCAAAATCGAGCTCTTTGGCATCAACTCAACTCGATGTGTTTGGAGGAGGAGGAATGCTGCCTATGACCCCAAGAACTCCATCCCCACCGTCAAACATGGAGGTGGAAACATTATGTTTTGGGGGTGTTTTTCTGCTAAGGGGACAGGACAACTTCACCGCATCAAAGGGACGATGGACGGGGTCATGTACCGTCAAATCTTGGGTGAGAACCTCCTTCCCCCAGCCAGGGCATTGAAAATGGGTCATGGATGGGTATTCCAGCATGACAATGACCCAAAACACACGGCCAAGGCAACAAAGCAGTGGCTCAAGAAGAAGCACATTAAGGTCCTGGGTGGCCTAGCCAGTCTCCAGACCTTAATCCCATAGAAAATCTGTGGAGGGAGCTGAAGGTTCGAGTTGCCAAACGTCAGCCTCGAAACCTTAATGACTTGGAGAAGATCTGCAAAGAGGAGTGGAACAAAATCCCTCCTGAGATGTGTGCAAACCTGGTGGCCAACTACAAGAAACGTCTGACCTCTGTGATTGCCAACAAGGGTTTTGCCACCAAGTACTAAGTCATGTTTTGCAGAGGGGTCAAATACTTATTTCCCTAATTAAAATGCAAATCAATTCATATCATTTTTGACATGCGTTTTTCTGGATTTTGTTGTTGTTATTCTGTCTCTCACTGTTCAAATGAACCTACCATTAAAATTATAGACTGATCATGTCTTTGTCAGTGGGCAAACGTACAAAATCAGCAGGGGATCAAATACTTTTTTCCCTCACTGTATATAGCCTCTTTACTGATATTTTATTGTTGCTCTTTAATTATTTGTTATTTTTCTTCATTTTTCTTTATTGTTTACTTCAGTTTATTTAGTAAATACTTTAACACTTTTTTTTTACTGCGTTGTTGGCTTGTAAGTAAGCATTTCGCGCATGTGACAAATATAATTTGATTTGATACACCCAGTATCTCTCCAGTGGGCTGTCTGTTCACAGGCCCAGTGGCTGATGACTCAGAGGGTCAATGGACTCTTCACCCATTTTTCTCTCTCGTTCTCTGGTTCTGTTTGTTCTCAGGGTGGACTATCATTGGGGAGTGAATGACGTGATCTCCTCTTCAGTTGGAACAGTCTTGCATTCTTTTAAAGCAACTCCTCACAGACTAATAAAATATCACAAATCCAAGTCTACAACTCAACTCCTCCTCCACTATGGCGACATTCTCTCATGGCCCTCCTCCTTTTCCCCTCTACTTGTCACTAGAACACAAATGAAATGAGTTCAAGACGCATCTTTCTGTCCTTGACAATAACAACTGAAGGGACCAATCTAACGGTTACACTCAACACTCGATGGAAGAGCCTCAACCCAGTCAAACATAGAGCAACACTTGACCATGTATGCATGTGTCCATATCTCAATCATTCAATGTGCAAACAAATAACAAAGGTAGAGAAATTACTAACATGGCAAGAGGTATGTGTCGTTCCCCCCTTTCCTTCCTCTGTTCTGTCATTATTCTGTTCCTCTGGATTTTGGAGGAGGGGGGCTGAGAGAAGTCCAATATAAAACCTAGTAGGTAGGACCTTTAACACTGTGAATCATGGCAAGAACAGCTGGAGCAACAGTAGGCCTTTTCCACCTTACATCTATCTTCCTCTAGCCATTTGAGAGCCAATACAATACTCATGTTATCATTCACAGTGCTGCTAGGCAATGGTTTTCAAAGGTGGACCCTAACTTCACTAAATATGAATGAGATTATTCAGTGAAGATAGCTTCCTGGGATTAAGAAAACGACACAACACTGGTAATATAAGATAAAATCGCAGTTTATCATCTTATTACTTTTAAAAGCAATAACTTTAAATAAAAATCATTCTGCAAACATATTCACATTGGAAACATCCACAAACCAATTTCCATTTACATTTGAGATTGTTTCATGGGAAACCCCTTTAGTTTACTTTTATCGACCAGAACTTATTTTCAACATGAGCAACAGGAATGTAAAATCAAGTAATTGATCAAGTGAACGGGAATAGGAACATGAAGACTTTCAATGACAGCCCTGAATGAAACACCAAGCTGATGTGGAACGTGATAATGAGCATAAACAACAGGGAATGTCTCAAACATGGCACAGTCCGGCCTTGAGTACCGTTTGGTTTTTGGAGATAGCATGGGAGTATTATATTATCCTCAAAAACATCACATACTGTACTTTTTAAAATATAAATCAATACATGTTTTACTCAAAGCAATCTGCTAAACGCTTTTAAACATAGTTGACATTCAATCTTTAGAAATACCTAAAAAATAATAATAAACGGTTCAGTTTATACTTTGATCAAGCTGCAATATACAAGAAGTAAAATGAGGACCAACAGGTCCTCAATAATCAATAATAATAATCGATAATAAAATACTTTTTGAACTGAGACGTCCATAATTATCAGGACCGTTTTATAACCCTGTCGACCACCCCATGACCACACATAACTAGTGACTGACTAACTATAGTACACACAACTAAAGTGATCATAGTCATCATAAAGACAAAAGGTCAAGAACAGCCTAACCTGTTGAGAATCTAATAGGATGCATTTAAGATTCATTGCATTTCGCGGACTAGGTTTTTACGTCAGTCTACAAGGTTAGGGTTATCAATTTGACTGACTTCTACTTTAATATGAATATCAGCTCATCAGACTTTTGGGGCCGATTTCCCACACACAGATTAAGACTATTCCTGGACTAAGAACCACTTTCAATGGAGAATCTCCATTGAACATGCTTTTTAGTCTAGGACCAGCCTTAATCTGTGTGTGGGAAATCGGCCCCAAAAGTCTGATGAGCTGATATTCATATTAAAGTAGAAGTCAGTCAACTTGATAACCCTAACCTTGTAGACCGACGTAAAAACCTAGCGATGATAGTGCAAATATGTCTCCCCACATCAGGTGCTGTTTGTTATTCACATTATACAGATTCAATATTTTTACTGTTTCACAATGAGGGGACTTTGCATTAATAAGAGGGGAACTAGTACCTAAACCGGTCTCCAGATCTATTTTGTTGAAATGCTTTACCTTGGATTTTCATTTCAACCGAAGTCTTAAGTGATGAATGGATGGAAAACAATTCCATCATGACTCCATACAATTACCTTGTGCTTTTCAATTCCCCTCAACTGTGTACAAACAAATGGTAAACAAACTCAAACATGAAATCCCTGAAAGATACAGAATCCAGTCACATATTACAGGGGTGTTCAGTTGAGGCTATAAACTGTGTCCATCCTGGAGCAGCACACACTGCACATAACAACCAATGATGTATATAAACCCTGGATTGCTGATGCTATGTATTGGCCATTGTATTGGCCACATGTCAAAAAACAATTCTATAGCTTCCAAAATCTTTTTTTACAATGGAGGAGTACCAAGATGGCTGTGCGGTGGCTTCAATACAACGCCCCTTATCAGTCATCCAGGGTTTATACACATAATTGAAAACAACAGTGTACATAATGCGCGCACACACACACACACACACACACACACAAACACACACACTTCACACTTCACACAAACTTCTCAGCCGGCAAAGCGCTGGTAAAAGGCCAGTTTGACCCTCTCTATAAGGTGGCACAGTTTGATGGCAGGGCCCAGCTTCAGCCCCATACACTCCTGAACTGTGGGCAGGCTCAGCAACAGCAGGGCCTGGCCATCTATCTCCTGTCAACACACACAACAACATGGCTCAGAAAATGAGTGCACTGTGCGTGTGTGTATGTGTGTCTGGTGTGTGTGTGTGAGTGTGTCACTCCTACTTGGTCCCTGAATATGCGTGCCAGCGGGGCACAGTCAGTGGTTCTGATGAAGTGGGTCACATCAGTGATGCTCCAGCCCAGAGGACTGCTGTCCAGATGCAGCTTCTCCTGCACCTCCAGCCGCCCACTCTGAGACAGAACACAAACACAGGGGGTTACACATATATAGTTCTAGGATCAGTGTGTTTGTGTGTGTGTATATAATTATGCAACAGCCGCTACCTTAGGTGAGGGGGGCTGGTTCTCATCATCTGAGTAGGAGGGTAAGTGGGGGGTTTTCCTACACTGGCGGGGTCCTTCCTGAGGGCGTGGTTCTGTAGGGGTGAGACAGCGACAGGCAGGCTGGGACTTCCTCTCTGACACCTCAGAGTCATCCTGCTGCTCTGAGCCCGAGTCCTCCTCACTCAGAAAGTAGTCCTCATCCAGGTCCTCCTCCTCTCCACTACCCTGGGGTGCAAAGAGCACAGTTATGAGTTCGATTACTGGCTCCTTCCATATAAAAGTTGCCCATAAGATTTTATTTATTTATTTTATTTCACCTTTATTTAACCAGGTAAGCCAGTAGAGAACAAGTTCTCATTTACAACTGCGACCTGGCCAAGATAAAGCAAAGCAGTGCGATAAAAACAACAAGATGCACTGCGCTCTACCCCAAATCCTAACCTTAACCATTAGAAAATATCTGACCCTGGACCAGTGGTTGAGGGAAACCACTGATTGGCAAGCTCATCCTCATCAGGAGGATGACATCATCCTCTATGAGGAAATAGCAAGCATTTTTTAAACTGTCTGTTTGAGATACCAGTTTGAGGTGGTTTTTGAAGTGCTTTTTCTACAATTTATGCTTTGGCCACAAACACAAGTATAGGTTGGAGTCTACAACAATATTTGGATATGAGTAAAAAGCAGTGGAGGCTCCTCAAGACGAGGAAGGGGAGGACCATCCTACTCAGTGCATTTCATAAAAATAAAAATAGTAAAACATTTTAAAAAAGTTATCCTTTTTAGATAAAACTATACTAAATATATTCATGTCACCAAATAATTGATTAAAACACACTGTTTTGCAATGACTGTCTACAGTAGCCTCAACAGCACTCTGTAGGATAGCACCATGGTGTAGCCGGAGGACAGCTAGTACAGCTACAAAACCTAGGAGGCTCATGGTTCTCACCCACTTCCATAGACTTACACAGTAATTATGACAACTTCCGGAGGATGTCCTCCAACCTATCAGAGCTCTTGCAGCATGAACTGACTGTCACGGATCCCCCCGGTACTGCTGCTCATTCCGTTCACCAGCTCCGGAGGTCTACGTCACCGGCCTTCTAGGTGTCACTGACCTGGTTCATTACCACCAACCCCGGACTGTCTTGTCTCATTACGCACACCTGGTTCCCATTCCCCCTGATTAGTACAGTTGAAGTCGGAAGTTTACATACACTTAGGTTGGAGTCATTAAAACTCATTTTTCAACCACTACACACATTTCTTGTTAACAAACTATAGTTTTGCCAAGTCGGTTAGGACATCTACTTTGTGCATGACACAAGTAATAATTTTTCCAACAATTGTTTACAGACAGATTATTTCACTTATAAATCACTGTATCACAATTCCAGTGGGTAAGAAGTTTACATACACTAAGTTGACTGTGCCTTTAAACAGCTTAGAAAATTCCAGAAAATGATGTCATGGCTTTAGAAGCTTCTGATAGGCTAATTGACATCATTTGAATCAATTGGAGGTGTACCTGTGGATGTATTTCAAGGCCTACCTTCAAACTCAGTGCCTCTTTGCTTGACATCATGGGAAAATCAAAAGAAATCAGCCAAGACCTCAGGAAAAAAATGGTAGACCTCCACAAGTCTGGTTCATCCTTGGGAGCAATTTCCAAACGCCTGAAGGTACCACGTTCATCTGTACAAACAATAGTACGCAAGTATAAACACCATGGGACCACGCAGCCATCATACCGCTCAGGAAGGAGACGCGTTCTGTCTCCTAGAGATTAACGTACTTTGGTGCGAAAAGTGCAAATCAATCCCAGAACAACAGCAAAGGACCTTGTGAAGATGCTGGGAGAAACAGGTACAAAAGTATCTATATTCACAGTAAAACGAGTCCTGTATCAACATAACCTGAAAGGCCGCTCAGCAAGGAAGAAGCCACTGCTCCAAAACCGGCATAAAAAAGCCAGACTACAGTTTGCAACTGCACATGGGGACAAAGATCGTACTTTTTGGAGAAATGTCCTCTGGTCTGATGAAACAAAAATAGAACTGTTTGGCCATAATGACCATCGTTATGTTTGGAGGAAAAAGGGGAATGCTTGCAAGCCGAAGAACACCATCCCAACCGTGAAGCATGGGGGTGGCAGCATCATGCTGTGGGGGTGCTTTGCTCCATTCCTCCTGACAGAGCTGGTGTAACGGAGTCAGGTTTGTAGGCCTCCTTGCTTGCACACGCTTTTTCAGTTCTGCCCACACATTTTCTATAGGATTGAGATCAGGGCTTTGTGATGGCCACTCCAATACCTTGACTTTGTTGTCCTTAAGCCATTTTGACACAACGTTGGAAGTATGCTTGGGGTCATTGTCCATTTGGAAGACCCATTTGCGACCAAGCTTTAACTTCCTGACTGATGTCTTGAGATGTTGCTTGAATATATCCACATCATTTTCCTTCCTCATGATGCCATCTATTTTGTGAAGTGCACCAGTCCCTCCTCCAGCAAAGCACCCCCACAGCATGATGCTGCCACCCCTGTGCTTCACGGTTGGGATGGTGTTCTTCGGCTTGCAAGCATTCCCCTTTTTCCTCCTAACATAACGATGGTCATTATGGCCAAACAGTTCTATTTTTGTTTCATCAGACCAGAAGACATTTCTCCAAAAAGTACGATCTTTGTCCCCATGTGCAGTTGCAAACCGTAGTCTGGCTTTTTTATGGCGGTTTTGGAGCAGTGGCTTCTCCTTGCTGAGCGGCCTTTCAGGGTATGTCGATATAGGACTCGTTTTACTGTGGATATAGATACTTTTGTACCTGTTTCCTCCAGCATCTTCACAAGGTCCTTTGCTGTTGTTCTGGGATTTATTTGCACTTTTCGCACCAAAGTACGTTCATCTCTAGGAGACAGAACGCGTCTCCTTCCTGAGCGGTATGACGGCTGCGTGGTCCCATGGTGTTTATACTTGCGTACTATTGTTTGTACAGATGAACGTGGTACGTTTGGAAATTGCTCCCAAGGATGAACCAGACTTGTGGAGGTCTACCATTTTTTCCCTGAGGTCTTGGCTGATTTCTTTTGATTTTCCCATGATGTCAAGCAAAGAGGCACTGAGTTTGAAGGTAGGTCTTGAAATACATCCACAGGTACACCTCCAATTGACTCAAATGATGTCAATTAGCCTATCAGAAGCTTCTAAAGCCATGACATCATTTTCTGGAATTTTCCAAGCTGTTTAAAGGCACAGTCAACTTAGTGTATGTAAACCTCTGACCCACTGGAATTGTGATACAGTGAATTATAAGTGAAATAATCTGTCCAACAATTGTTGGAAAAATTATTACTTGTGTCATGCACAAAGTAGATGTCCTAACCGACTTGGCAAAACTATAGTTAACAAGAAATTTGTGGAGTGGTTGAAAAACGAGTTTTAATGACACCAACCTAAGTGTATGTAAACTTCCGACTTCAACTGTATGTGCCCTCTGTTCCCCATTGTTCTGGTCAATTACTGTCCAATGTCCGTTGGTCTTGTGAGTACATTGTATTACAGTTTACATGCCGAGTAATTGTTATTACGGGTCTCGTCCCGTGTATTATTTAGAGGTTTACACCTCACTCTTTTGTTTGGGTTACTGTCCTGTGTTATATATTCACGTGTTTGTTTTGGGCTTCATCCACGTCGTTTTTCCATGACGTACCTTATGTTGGGTTGAGTAATAAAACACCCTATTACGTATTCCTGCGCCTGTCTATCAGTATACAACGTGACAATGACGTTGTCTACCCAATCAAAGGATCAGATAATTAATATAGTACTGAAAGCATAAGCTACAGCTAGCTAGCACTGCAGTGCATAAAATGTGGTGAGTAGTTGACTCAAAGAGAGAGAAATACAATAGTTTAACAGTTTTGAACAAATTAATTTCTTAAAAAATGAAGGAGAAGGAAGAGAGAGAGCGAGAGAGATATATATATATTTTTTACTTTCAGTTTCACTTACTTAGCTAGCAAATGCAGCTAACTAGCTAGCTTAGCCTACTCAAACACCCGGCTCAAACAGAGAGATACTATGTTAGCTAGCTGGCTATCACTATCCAACACTTTTAATTTTACTAATTTATTGCCACCAGGGCACGTCGATGTAACTGCTAAACTGCTTTTTGAACTGCTTACTGACTGTACACTGTAACGTTACTGCATGATTGTAGTGGGTTTACTAATGCGTTAGTTCTATTAGCTATGTTGATTTTAACGTTACTTTAGCTAATATGGTGACAACGATGTAGGCTGTGTGTAGCGGTTATGATATGGTTTGGCTTGGAAAGGTTCTCTCGCCTGGTCACATACAGCTGATGTGTTGTGCATTGAAGTCCACAAGCTAAGGGAAAAGGTGAGAGGAGGAGAGCGCATAGAAGCGAGAAGGAATACAACATGGCTGCTATGAAAGTGAACTGTGTTTACGTGTGATCGGGGTGTATTCATTCCACCGATTCTGTTGTAAAATGTTTTTTAAACAGAAGCAAACGGAACGAAACAGGGATTAGCATACCTGGATTTGTCCAATAGAAACTCTTGTTCGCAACTGTTGGATTTAGGATTACACCCTAGATCAGCTAGATGCAGGCAAGAGTGTGCAAGGCGGTATTGAATGTGTCACTGTCTGTCCATGTGTCCCTGTCTGTCACCTTACATTTTTCTCTCGACCTGTGTACACCTACGTTGTAAACTTTCATTCATAGGCTAGGTTGTAGCGACCTCATGATGGGTAAAGGGAAAATATGAGTATCACGTAGTAGCCTAAACCTATCGCTGTTACATTGAACTGGGTGAATGGAATATTAATTGACAGTCATCCAATATGCTGGAATAGAAATAAGGCCATGTTCTTGAGAAGAAAAAAAATCATCCTCCCTCATCTTAAACAGCATCAACCGCCACTGGTCAACAGAATATACACTTTTAAAAGTGAGATTTTCACTGGACAGTTACTTTAATGAGTTGAATGTCAGTATATATAGCACTATAGCCTATTTATTGCCTTACCTCCATAACTTGCTACATTTGCACACACTGTATATATATTTTCTGTTGTATTTTTGACTTTATGTTTTTTTACCCCATATGTAACTCTGTGTTGTTTTTATTGCACTGCTTTGCTTTATCTTGGCCAGGTCGCAGTTGTAAATGAGAACCTGTTCTCAACTGGCTTACCTGGTTAAATAAAGGTGAAATAAATAAATAAAATAAAAATATGCAGTACCAGTGGGGAGCAAGCAGGGGTGCTGTCCACAGATGTAGACAGGCGTTTTTTCTTGTGGACAGACAGGGGCTTCCTCTTCTTCCTCCTGCTCCCTTGCTTGGTGCTGCTCTCCAGGTTAGTGTGACCGCCAGGGGGACGGCCAATGCGCTTGGTCTTCTTCTTACTGTAGTAATGAGCTAAAGAGCACATAGACACCAAAAATAATAACAGGAGTGTTATTCATATGATTGTATAGCTAAATATTGATAAGTACATTGTAAATACAATCTGTCTGTGTGTACGTGCATTCGCATGTGTATGTGTAAGGTAGCACGTACTGTATTTAGTCTTGGTGAGCAGGAAACAGTTCTCCGAGCAGTGTTCCAGCACCATGTGAGGTGCGATCAGGTTGGGGCAGCACTCCAGCCTCACACATGTCCTCCGGCAGAACTCAGCCACCTGGTCAGCCGTACGGGAAATCCCCACAGTGGCCCGGTAACTCTTCCCTTTGTACCTACACACCACAACACCGTCCAGAGCAGAATAGGTACAGTGAGGGAAAAAAGTATTTGACCCCCTGCTGATTTTGTACGTTTGCCCAGTGACAAAGAAATGATCAGTCTATAATTTTAATGGTAGGTTTATTTGAACAGTGAGAGACAGAATAACAATAACAAAAAAACAGAAAAACGCATGTCAAAAATGTTATAAATTGATTTGCATTTTAATGAGGGAAATAAGTATTTGACCCCCTCTCAATCAGAAAGATTTTCTGGCTCCCAGGTGTCTTTTATATAGGTAACGAGCTGAGATTAGGAGCACACTCTTAAAGGGAGTGCTCCTAATCTCAGCTTGTTACCTGTATAAAAGACACCTGTCCACAGAAGCAATCAATCAATCAGATTCCAAACTCTCCACCATGGCCAAGACCAAAGAGCTCTCCAAGGATGTCAGGGACAAGATTGTAGACCTACACAAGGCTGGAATGGGCTACAAGACCATCGCCAAGCAGCTTGGTGAGAAGGTGACAACAGTTGGTGTGATTATTCGCAAATGGAAGAAACACAAAAGAACTGTCAATCTCCCTCGGCCTGGGGCTCCATGCAAAATCTCACCTCGTGGAGTTGCAATGATCATGAGAACGGTGAGGAATCAGCCCAGAACTACACGGGAGGATCTTGTCAATGATCTCAAGGCAGCTGGGACCATAGTCACCAAGAAAACAATTGGTAACACACTACGCCCGCAAGGTCCCCCTGCTCAAGAAAGCACATATACAGGGCCGTCTGAAGTTTGCCAATGAACATCTGAATGATTCAGAGGAGAACTGGGTGAAAGTGTTGTGGTCAGATGAGACCAAAATCGAGCTCTTTGGCATCAACTCAACTCACCGTGTTTGGAGGAGGAGGAATGCTGCCTATGACCCCAAGAACACCATCCCCACCGTCAAACATGGAGGTGGAAACATTATGCTTTGGGGGTGTTTTTCTGCTAAGGGTACAGGACAACTTCACCGCATCAAAGGGACGATGGACAGGGTCATGTACTGTCAAATCTTGGGTGAGAACCTCCTTCCCTCAGCCAGGGCATTGAAAATGGGTCGTGGATGGGTATTCCAGCATGACAATGACCCAAAACACACGGCCAAGGCAACAAAGGAGTGGCTCAAGAAGAAGCACATTAAGGTCCTGGAGTGGCCTAGCCTGTCTCCAGACCTTAATCCCATAGAAAATCTGTGGAGGGAGCTGAAGGTTCGAGTTGCCAAACATCAGCCTCGAAACCTTAATGACTTGGAGAAGATCTGCAAAGAGGAGTGGAACAAAATCCCTCCTGAGATGTGTGCAAACCTGGTGGCCAACTACAAGAAACGTCTGACCTCTGTGATTGCCAACAAGAGTTTTGCCACCAAGTACTAAGTCATGTTTTGCAGAGGGGTCAAATACTTATTTCCCTCATTAAAATGCAAATCAATTTATAACATTTTTTACATGCGTTTTTCTGGATTTTTTAAATGTTATTCTGTCTCTCACTGTTCAAATAAACCTACCATTAAAATTATAGACTGATCATGTCTTTGTCCGTGGGCAAACGTACAAAATCAGCAGGGGATCAAATACTTTTTTCCCTCACTGTACACCCATTAATACGGTCTGTCAGAGACCAATGTGGCAAAGAGCATCTCTCCCAGGTCCTGCATCCAGTATGATGATTATGGAGCAGAGAGAATGTATATCCTCAGTGTCACTCGACTACTACCATGTACAGTAGTGTTATGGTGCATACATAGTGACCAAGAACAGAGTAACTCTACCGCATACAGAAACTGTATGGATTAGTGTGTGTACTGTTTCTCATTTTATCACAATACTGTACCATAAATAGTATAATCTAAACAGTCATGATATCACTATTATTTCACTGTTGTTATGGTGTATACTGTGGTCTGTCCACTGACTTGGCCTGAAGCATCGCTCCCTGGCTCTGCATATAGCTAATGATCCCTATAAACAGTGTGAGTGTATATCATCATGTAACGTTAGCGTTATTCTAGTGTTATAGTGTGGTGGGTAGACTGACTTGGCCTTGAGAGTCTCTCCCTGGCCGTGCCCCCTCAGCTCTGGGTCCTGCTGCAGCTCCCTCAGCACCCGGCTGGGCTTGTAGGCTGAGCTGATCAGTAGAGTCAACACCTGGACCACAGGACAGGAGAGGATACAGGGGGGTTAGAAGTACACACTCTAGGATACAAGGTAGGGTACAGCACAGAAGATGATGCATCTGTATGGGGATAATAGTGAGTTGCCATCTACAGTAGTGCGTGTGTTAATAATAATGAATAATTAATTACATTTGTAAAGCGCTTTTCATTATATAGAATAATCTCAAAGTGCATAAAATAAAAAATAAAAACCAAATAAATAAATATTGACACCTAGACAGGGCAACTGACACAAAGAACACAGCTGATACTACAAGAGACAAGGACACCAAGGAGCACAGCTATCAACTGAAAGCCTTCCTAAAGAGAAAAGTCTAGGCCCCTTTTAAAGGAGCCCAGAGTCTGTGGTGCCTTCAGGTGGTCCGGGAGGGCATTATAGAGGCTGGGGGGCGGTCGAGCTGAAAGACCCATTCCCCAAGGAGCGGAACTGCGTGTAGGAGCAGGCTATTGCTTGACCGGAGGGTGTGGGTGGGGTTATGGAGGGAGAGCAGTTCTTTACATTTACATTTACATTTTAGTCATTTAGCAGACGCTCTTATCCAGAGGTCGGAGTGGAACCAACTCAGAGTGAGTGCATTCATTATTTTTTTTTAGATCTTTTTTTCATACTGGCCCCCTGTGGGAATCGAACCCACAACCCTGGCGTTGCAAACGCCATGCTCTACCAACTGAGCTACATCCCTGCCGGCCATTCCCTCCCCTACCCTGGACGACGCTGGGCCAATTGTGCGCCGTCGCATGGGTCTCCCGGTCGCGGCCGGCTACGACAGAGCCTGGATTCGAACCAGGATCTCTAGTGGCACAGCTAGCACTGCGATGCAGCGCCTTAGACCACTGCGCCACTCGGGAGACATGGAGGGGCATCTTTGAGATAAGGAGGGGCATTGCCATGAATACACTGGAAAGTCAGCACTGGAAAGTCAGCAGGAGGGTTTTGAATTCAATCCGGAATGAGACGGGGAGCCAGTGCAGAGATGTCAGTATAGGGGTGATGTGATGGTGTTTCCGCACTCTCATCAGGACCCTGGCAGCACTGTTCTGAATGTATTGGCGCTTCTGGAGACTCCTGCCAGGGATCCTGATGAAGAGTGCGTTGCAGCAGTCCAGCCCTGAGGAGATAAAGGCATGGATGAGCTTCTCTGCATCAGACTGTGTGAGGGTGGGACGGAGTTTGGCATTGTTCCTGAGGTGATAGAATTACGCTTTACACAGTTGTTTGATGTGGCTGTCAAAGGTCATGGAGGAATTAAGCTTTACACCCAGATTGGAAACTGAGGGGGAGAGAGGGATGTTCTGTCCTGCAATGGTGAGGGCTGGACCTGGTGGGGGGGTGCCAACAAGTAGGGCCTCGGTTTTGCTGCAGTTCAGTTGAAGGACGTTTTGCTTCATCCATTTCCTCAAGGCAGGTGTTCAGATGGGCACATGCATCAGAGGGACTTGGGGCAGTTTTTACATACAGCTGGGTGTCATCAGCATAGCAGTGGAATGGGATTCCATGCCGGCTAACGACACGATCGAGGGGGAGCATGTACAGAACGAACAGGATGCGTCCAAGAACAGATCCTTGTGGTACACCGCAGGGGCCTGGACCCACCTAGCGACACATACTCAGTCCTGTCTGAGAGGTCGGAGTGGAACCAGCTCAGAGCTGGTCCAGACAGTCCGATGGTGTCCAGGAGACGTTCCAGGAGGATGGGGTGGGCGACAGTCAAACCCTGCGCTCAAGTCCAGGGGGATCAGGGGACAGGGTGAGCCTGCATCAGCAGGTCGTGGGTGACCCTGAGTAAGGCCGTTTCAGTGCTGTGGGCCGGCCAGAAACCTGACTGGAACTTCTCAAATACTGTAGGTTGTTCAGATTGAGATGGTCCTGGAGCTGTACAGCAAGCACTTTTTCCAAAACCTTGGAGAGGAAGGGGAGATTGGATATTGGCCTGATGGCCTTGATATTTTTAGATAGAGGAGCTGGTAGATGTGTGCTGCTCTCTCTCTCACCTCTTTCAGCACCAGGACACAGTTGCCGGGGCCGATGCTCTGGGGCAGCTCAGCGATGCGGCCCTTGTTCAGGTAGGGGCCAGAGAAACAGAGGTGGTTGAAGAAGATCTTTGGGCAGCTGTACTTCCCGTTACCCTGAGCTGCTGACACAGACACGCACGTCATACGCATTATTTTTTCACAAATTATTTTTCACAAGGAATTACACTCACCGCTCTCTGATTGGCTCAGATCCTGCTGCCTCGCTGCATCAGGGGGCGTGGCTTTAAGTTGAGATCTGCCATCGGATCAAACCCAAATACACATACAGTTAGAAATAAAAGTCACAAAGTTGGTTAAGACTAGAGGAAGTAAGTTTTTTAAATTTGTATACCCACTCGCTCTCTGTAATATGCAAGGTCTGCAAAAACTCACTGCTTCTCTGGTTGCAACACGGCCACACGGCTCTTCTTCTGAGCTGCAACAGAAGAGGTCAAAAGTCAAAATCTACACCTGCCAGTAACCGTCAGATAAAACACTGACATAGACCAATCGTCAAAATGGACAGGAGGGTCTTGTTTGGAGCCTGACCTGTAGGTTGAGAGGGATGTTGGAGTCGGTAGCCGTTACTCTCACACCAGCTGACTGGAAAGATGTCCAGAGAGTCCACATGCGTGATGACATCAGGCAGAGTCTGCTTCAAACCTGGGGAGAACACACAGAGCAGAGGGAGGAGGTTATGAGTGGCTGAACACATTAACACTATGTAAATAGAACAACACTGAGTATTCAGGTAGCTGAAATTAACACCCAAAATGGACTTGGTCATAGTGATAATATTCACAAGATCAACATCCTTCTCATCCTTCCCTAAAAACCCTTACATCTCTACAACCCAGCACTTATTCTCCTTCCTCCAGCTGTTCTGTTCTCACCTTCTAGACCCAGCCAGATGTGCTGACCTCTGACCCTGGTTACAGTTGCCACGTGGATGTACTCAGGAGAGACGGGATTCACCGCCTCCAGCCTCATGGACTCAACAAAGTCATGATCACTCTGCTCCTGGAGGAAAAACACCTGTCTGAGTGGTGTGTGTGTGTGTGTGTGTGTGTGTGTGTGTGTGTGTGTGTGTGTCTCACCACAGGGAAACAGCTCTCTGGCACTCCCTCTGCTCCACACTGTTTCAGGTAATCCGCCCAGTCAAAGTCCTGACCCTGGTAACCTACACACCCACATACACAGGAACACAGTCAATTCGGAGATCCATTTCACTGGTGACTGCAGTACAGTGCCTGAGATGAGTGTATTCCAGAGGTGGGACGAAATCACTATTATTCAAGTCACAAGCAAGTCACAAGGTCCGAGTCTCAAGTCGAGTCCCAAGTGGAACCGGTCGATTCTCGAGTCAAGTTCAAGTCGTGCATTCTAAGAGCAAGTCGAGTCAAGTTTTTTCAAGTCAAGTTAAAAATAAAACTTTATACATTTTCTTTAGGCTAGCAGACAGCCCTTTTCATTATTTTGTCTACAGCATATTTTGATTATGAAATAGTTAATTTAACAACAAATACCAAACGCAAGCTTCATGAGTAAATGATCCATTTCATGCAATTTTGACATACCAAAAGACCAGTATTTTTTTATTTATTTTTTCCCAGACCAGTAGGCCTATGTTAGTCATTGTTGATTGATGCCCCATTACATTTTAGTCATTTAGCAGACGCTCTTATCCAGAGCGATTTACAGTTAGTGAGTGCATACATTATTTTTATATTGTAATTTTATTTTTCATACTGGCCCCCCCGTGGGAAATACTGGTGAGCTTGCAAAGTAAACCTTGATTATTCTTGATCACCAAACAATTGTTAGAGCTGCATATATATTTATGGCAATCCTCTCTCCCTACAATTTGCCGTTTGTGCTGCAGCCGATCCTATAGCTGTACAGAAAATCAGCCATCTGTTCACTAGCTTAGTGGTTCTCAAACGTTTTGACCCACGACCCCCAAAAAGGAGTGTTTCAAAGCTTGCGACCCCCAGTGCATGCACATGCACGTGCACACAATTGCTGTGAAGATGTTGCCTTTCATTACAGATATAAATGGTGCTGCATTTTAAAAACACAAGATACACCTGCACTTTGATCTGAAAGTCATTCATGTTAGCAGTCAATATCAACTAGGGATATCATGTCACTACTCTGGAGTCCAGGCAAGCAGGATCATACGGCCTACCTGTATGCAGCGGAGGTTGCAGGATCGGATGGAAAGCATGGTTTGTCTGTAGACTTTTTCTTCCTCACAAATATCGTAACTAATTCGCCAGAATATGTTACTTCTTCATCCCATGAGTATTGATGTTAGAACTATCTCTAGCCAGTAGGCCTACCCACCACTGAGGTATATAATTAACCCACCCAAACTAGGCCTATCTGAAATATCCAGGTAGCCTATTGTTCTGTCAAAGATATGTCGGTAGCAGATTGCTAAACTGTATTTTATATATATATATTTTTTTAAGTGCCAGGCAAAACCTTAGAAAATGAAACAAGTGCTTTCTGGTCATTAATCTGGATATGTACGCCCGCCTTTGTGCGCCAATGCTGATGACTGGTCATTGGTCAACAGTCAAGATGCACAACTTTTTGGTTCTGAAGCACAGATTAGATGTTTTTGAAAGAAGAATTGCGTGCAACGCTGTAGGCCTATGTTAGTGGCCAGATTGAATAAGCAAAGGCATAAATATAAAATACAAATGGTAGGCTATACAGTGCCTTCAGAAAGTATTCACACCCCTTGACTTTTCCCACATTTTGTTGTGTTCCAAGCCTGAATTTAAAATGGATTAAATTGAGATTTTGTGTCACTGGCCTACACACAATACCCCATAATGTCAAAGTTGAATTATGTTTTTTCAAATTTGTATAAATTAATTTTTAAAAAAACGCTGAAATGTCTTCAGCCAATAAGTATTCAACCCCTTTGTTATGGCAAGCCTAAATAAGTTCAGGAGTAAAAGTGTGCTTAACAAGTCACATAATAAGCTGCATGGACTCACTCTGTATGCAATAATAGTGTTTAACATGATTTTTGAATGACACATACAATTATCTGTAAGGTCCTTCAGTCGAGCAGTAAATTTCAAACACATATTCAACCACAAAGACCAGGAAGGTTTTCCAATGCCTCGCAATGAAGGGCACCGATTGCTAGATGGGTAAAAGTAAAACAAAAAAAGCAGACATTGAATATCCAGAGACTGTGCCAAAAAATGAGTGACAAAACCTTACAAAACCCTGGCCAGATAATTTCAAGTCATCAGTCTCAAGTCAATGTCGAGTCCCGAGTCTTGACGCTCCAAGTCAAGTCTGAAGTTATTTTATTTTATCATTCAATCTGTGACTCGAGTCAGACTCAAGTCCAAGTCATGTGACTTGAGTCCACACCTCTGGTGTATTCTGCCTTACCTGGAGGGGGACTGAGGGGTACCCCATTTTTAAGGCTCCAATGGACAGGGAAGATTCCGGTGCTTCCATGGTGACAGAGGAAGGATGAGTCAGGCCCCGCCCCCTCACTGTCTCCCTGCAGGCTGTCCATCTGCACCAGGAAGTACTTGTCGCTCAACACCTGGGGGACACAATGATGACATCACTGTTATAGCCCCATACAACTAGGGGCAACCTACCACACACTATATGTAATTGATAAACACTGAAGAAGATGGATGCTGTGTGTGGGTGCAGTGGGGATGTTACCGTGGTGACCAGGGGCCTCATTTATAACCGTTGTGTAAATGTAACACTAAATATCTGTGTGTGCCATTTCTGAAAAGACTGCGCATGCACAAAAATATTTAGATTTATAAACTTGGCGCATGCCATACATACCCATGTTTCCCGTTATAAATTAGACCTGTCGTGAACGAGCATTATAACTCCACCTGAAAACTGCCCATCATTCACCTTCTATGGTGACAATAACGCCCTTATTTGCTGTATACTTTGGAAGTATTGGAATTAGGCCAAGACAGTATCTAAGGAAATAGCAATGCATGGCAAACTTAGGGGGGTGGCAGAATGTTTTATTTTGCAGTGACTTTTGCTGTATCTGACCATGTCTGAAAGACCAAACCAATTACACATTGTTGTGGACCTGTAAACAGATCATTTGAATTCAATAATGTTTTGCATTTACTTTTTCCCAAACCTAAATATGCTGCACTGCCCGCAAATTCTGAAACATTGTCTACTCTGAAGAAAATGAAAACTACAGTAGGCCTACTACTTAAAGTGGTAGCCTACACACTTCAATGCAAAAGTGTTTAACGTCTGTTAAACTCTACTGTATGTTAGAAACTTCTCCCGCTTTCGGATGCAAAAACTTGAAATTATAATATCTAATAGGCGCAATGAGAGATGCGCATGGTCATTTGTTGTTTGGCTACTTCGGAAATATGAACTCGTCATGGCCAGAAAAGGTGAGGAATTTATTCTGCAATGGTTACGATATATGCATTCTGTTTATAAATGAAATATCAAATCAAATTATTGTCTACTTGAGAAATTGTACATTACAGTATTCAGACGTAGTAGCCTACAAACGTCAATGGAAAAGGTGAACCGTCTATTCTACATTAAACTGTGCTTCGGAACAGATCGCATAGAGTAAAATACTTAAAATAGCTTATCTATTTACTACTGTGAAGTGGGTCCAATTAAAAGAGAGATGGGACGAATGGTAGCCTATCCTAACTTGTTGTAGGCCTACAGGCTATTTCGCAAATATGAAACCATCACAGTCAGAAAAGGTGAGGAATTTATTCTATAATGATCATGGAAATTAAATAAATAATAGGAAATACAGTTGAAGTCAGATGTTTACATACACCTTAGCCAAATACATTTAAACTCAGTTTTTCACAATTCCTGACATTTAATCCTAGTAAAGATTCCCTGTCTTAGGTCAGTTAGGATCACCACTTTATTTTAAGAATGTGAAATGTCAGAATAATAAGAGAGAATTATTTATTTCAGCTTTTATTTATTTCATCGCATTCCCAGTGGGTCAGAAGTTTACATACACTCAATTAGTATTTGGTAGCATTGCCTTTAAATTGTTTAACTTGGGTCAAACGTTTCGGGTAGCCTTCCACAAGCTTCCCACAATAAGTTGGGTGAATTTTGGCCCATTCCTCCTGACAGAGCTGGTGTAACTGAGTCAGGTTTGTAGGCCTCCTTGCTCGCACACGCTTTTTCAGTTCTGCCCACAAATGTTCTATAGGATTGAGGTCAGGGCTTTGTGATGGCCACTCCAATACCTTGACTTCGTTGTCCTTAAGCCATTTTGCCACAACTTTGGAAGTATGCTTGGGGTCATTGTCCATTTGGAAGACCCATTTGCGACCAAGCTTTAACTTCCTGACTGATGTCTTGAGATGTTGCTTCAATATATCCACATCATTTTCCTTCCTCATAATGCCATCTATTTTGTGAAGTGCACCAGTCCCTCCTACAGCAAAGCACCCCCACAGCATGATGCTGCCACCCCCGTGCTTCACGGTTGGGATGGTGTTCTTCGGCTTGCAAGCTCCCCCTTTTTCCCCCAAACATAACGATGGTCATTATGGCCAAACAGTTCTATTTTTGTTTCATCAGACCAGAGGACATTTCTCCAAAAAGTACGATCTTTGTCCCCATGTGCAGTTGCAAACCGTAGTCTGGCTTTTTTATGGCGGTTTTGGAGCAGTGGCTTCTTCCTTACTCAGCGGCCTTTCAGGTTATGTCGATATAGGATTCGTTTTACTGTGGATATAGATACTTTTGTACCTGTTTCCTCCAGCATCTTCACAAGGTCCTTTGCGGTTGTTCTGGGATTTATTTGCACTTTTCGCACCAAAGTATGTTCATCTCAAGGAGACAGAACGCGTCTCCTTCCTGAGCGGTATGACGGCTGCGTGGTCCCATGGTGTTTATACTTGAAGACTATTGTTTGTACAGATGAACGTGGTACCTTCAGCCGTTTGGAAATTGCTCCCAAGGATGAACCAGACATGTGGAGGTCTACAATTTTTTTTCTGAGGTCTTGGCTGATTTCTTTTGATTTTCCCATGATGTCAAGCAAAGAGGCACTGAGTTTGAAGGTAGGCCTTGAAATACATCCACAGGTACACCTCCAATTGACTCAAATGATGTCAATTAGCCTATCAGAAGCTTCTAAAGCCATGACATCATTTTCTGGAATTTTCCAAGCTGTTTAAAGGCACAGTCAACTTAGTGTATGTAAACTTCTGACCCACTGGAATTGTGATACAGTGCATTATAAGTGAAATACTCTGTATGTAAACAATTGTTGGAAAAATTACTTGTTTCATGCACAAAATAGATGTCCTAACCGACTTGCCAAAACTATAGTTTGTTAACAAGAAATGTGTGGAGTGGTTGAAAAACTAGTTTTAATGACTCCAACCTAAGTGTATGTAAACTTCAGACTTCAACTGTAGATGCCTACTGTGGGGAAAAAAAGTATTTAGTCAGCCACTAATTGTGCAAGTTCTCCCACTTAAAAAGATGAGAGAGGCCTGTAATTTTCATCATAGGTACACGTCAACTATGACAGACAAAATGAGGGAAAAAAATCCAGAAAATCACATTGTAGGATTTTTAATGAATTTATTTGCAAATTATGGTGGAAAATAAGTATTTGGTCAATAACAAAAGTTTCTCAATACTTTGTTATATACCCTTTGTTGGCAATGACACAGGTCAAACATTTTCTGTAAGTCTTCACAAGGTTTTCACACACTGTTGCTGGTATTTTGGCCCATACCTCCATGCAGATCTCCTCTAGAGCAGTGATGTTTTGGGGCTGTCGCTGGGCAACACAGACTTTCAACTCCCTCCAAAGATTTTCTATGGGGTTGAGATCTGGAGACTGGCTAGGCCACTCCACGACCTTGAAATGCTTCTTACGAAGCCACTCCTTCGTTGTCCGGGCGGTGTGTTTGGGATCATTGTCATGCTGAAAGACCCAGCCACGTTTCATCTTCAATGCCCTTGCTGATGGAAGGAGGTTTTCACTCAAAATCTCACGATACATGGCCCCATTCATTCTTTCCTTTACACGGATCAGTCGTCCTGGTCCCTTTGCAGAAAAACAGCCCCAAAGCATGATGTTTCCACCCCCATGCTTCACAGTAGGTATGGTGTTCTTTGGATGCAACTCAGCATTCTTTGTCCTCCAAACACGACAAGTTTAGTTTTTACCAAAAAGTTATATTTTGGTTTCATCTGACCATATGACATTCTCCCAATCCTCTTCTGGATCATCCAAATGCACTCTAGCAAACTTCAGAAGGGCCTGGACATGTACTGGCTTAAGCAGGGGGACACGTCTGGCACTGCAGGATTTGAGTCCCTGGCGGCGTAGTGTGTTACTGATGGTAGGCTTTGTTACTTTGGTCCCAGCTCTCTGCAGGTCATTCACTAGGTCCCCCCGTGTGGTTCTGGGATTTTTGCTCACCGTTCTTGTGATCATTTTGACCCCACGGGGTGAGATCTTGCGTGGAGCCCCAGATCGAGGGAGATTATCAGTGGTCTTGTATGTCTTCCATTTCCTAATAATTGCTCCCACAGTTGATTTTTTCAAACCAAGCTGCTTACCTATTGCAGATTCAGTCTTCCCAGCCTGGTGCAGGTCTACAATTTTGTTTCTGGTGTCCTTTGACAGCTCTTTGGTCTTGGCCATAGTGGAGTTTGGAGTGTGACTGTTTGAGGTTGTGGACAGGTGTCTTTTATACTGATAACAAGTTCAAACAGGTGCCATTAATACAGGTAACGAGTGGAGGACAGAGGAGCCTCTTAAAGAAGAAGTTACAGGTCTGTGAGAGGCAGAAGTCTTGCTTGTTTGTAGGTGACCAAATACTTATTTTCCACCATAATTTGCAAATAAATTCATTAAAAATCCTACAATGTGATTTTCTGGATTTTTTTCCCTCAATTTGTCTGTCATAGTTGACGTGTACCTATGATGAAAATTACAGGCCTCTCTCATCTTTTTAAGTGGGAGAACTTGCACAATTGGTGGCTGACTAAATACTTTTTTCCCCCACTGTATTTCTAATTATTTTAGAATGCAAAGATAAAATAAATAGATTTTTGCTCTTCTCGCTAACAGCAAATGATTGTATCTTGTTATTATATTTAGCTACCTGTTTTTTTGTTATAAATAAGAATGTCATCATATATTCCTGCACAAGGCTACTACTAGGCTACTTTTGCCTTCTTGCAATGCAATACTTCAACCACTAGAAACTGTGTGTACGCATGGTCTGAAGTCTGTGGGAGGATAAGCACATTTTTATAAATTCCAACTTTTGTGTGAAAACTGGCACACGCATGTTTTGGCCCATATTTTGCTCATACGCAACGTTTTTAAATGAGGCCTCAGGGTTGGGGTCAATTCCCTTTTAATTAGAAATTCCAATTCAATTATTTAATTCACTCATGAAGTGGAGAATTTAAGTTTAATTCAATTTGAATTTCAACAATCAAAGTTATGGAACTGGAATTGAATTGGAATTAGACTGTTTGAACTTGAATTGTAAAAACGTTTAATCTTTGGAATTGAATTGGGATTAAATATTAGTACATTTTCCAGTTAATGGAATGAATGCACTTAGTATAAAAAAGTGACTTTTTCCAGTATAGCTTTCTGAACAGTGACACGATCAGCCTGAAAGACTGAGGGAATTTAATTGGAATTTGTGGAATTGTTGGGGATAATATTGAATTGGGAATTGAATTCTGGAATTGACCTAAAATTGGTATTGAGAGGAATTGGATTATCTCTGAATTCAAAGACTGACCTGGAATTTGAATTATATTGAATTTACAGGGAGAGTGAATTGAATAAGAATTGAATTTGTCAAATTAACGCTAACCCTGGTGGTGACATGAGGGCGTTACCTTGGTGACAGTAGCTGGGCTGATGTTGAAGGGGGCAGCGGGGTTCACTGCCTCCAACTTCATCCCCTCAGAGAAGCAGTGAGGAGAGAGGACTGGCCGGTCCTACAAACACACAGAAGATATGTCAGAGGGAGAGGGAGACAGAAAGAGGGCAGAGAGAGAAAGAGAGAGAGTGAGAGAGCGAGATGTAAAGTATACCTTAAAAAAGTCTCGATTGAAAGCTTCTTCTTTAGGCTGTCTAATGTTCTTTCTCACCTCCTCCCACTCTGATTCGCTGCGCAAACCACAAAGCACTGAAACACAGCAGTGACATTATCACTAAGTAACTGTCATTAATACTTAAAACACAAACAAAAGCATCCAAACAAACACAAACACACTACAACAGTGGTCAGCATGCAACCAGCCCAACATTAATACACCTTATTCAACAAGGTCTTAATGATTCATTGATTGAGGTGTATTTGTGTTTACTCTGTAGCTTTTCAGGACCAGGGTTGGTCAACAGCACAAGGTGCAGAGGCAGTTCTGTTCCTTACCAGCAGGTGGAGTGAGAGAGTAGCTGTTCTCCTCAGCCCAGCCAGGTGGTTGCAGGAGGGGGTCCAGGTAGAATACCCAGCGCCTGGCCTGTGACTGGGTGAGCCCCTCTGTCCCAGCGTAGCGCAGACATAGACGGCCCCCTATGTTGTCCTCCACCTGAGCCCCCCAGGCCACCCCTGGGTCCACACTGTCCTGCAGCTCCACACACCACCCCGGGGGAAACAGGTCTGCTGGGTCTCCCCCTGTCTGAGCCTGGACACAGACAAGAGAATGTTAGAAAATGTTAACATTTATCGATACAAAAAAACCAAGCTTTTCTGACATGAGTAGTAATGTTGAATAGGTCCTACAGTGGGGAAAAAAAGTATTTAGTCAGCCACCAATTGTGCAAGTTCTCCCACTTAAAAAGATGAGAGAGAGGCCTGTAATTTTCATCATAGGTACACGTCAACTATGACAGACAAATTGAGGAAAGAAATTCCAGAAAATCACATTGTAGGATTTTTTATGAATTTATTTGCAAATTATGGTGGAAAATAAGTATTTGGTCACCTACAAACAAGCAAGATTTCTGGCTCTCACAGACCTGTAACTTCTTCTTTAAGAGGCTTCTCTGTTCTCCACTCGTTACCTGTATTAATGGCACCTGTTTGAACTAGTTATCAGTATAAAAAGACACCTGTCCACAACCTCAAACAGTCACACTCCAAACTCCACTATGGCCAAGACCAAAGAGCTGTCAAAGGACACCAGAAACAAAATTGTAGACCTGCACCAGGCTGGGAAGACTGAATCTGCAATAGGTAAGCAGCTTGGTTTGAAAAAATCAACTGTGGGAGCAATTATTAGGAAATGGAAGACATACAAGACCACTGATAATCTCCCTCGATCTGGGGCTCCACGCAAGATCTCACCCCGTGGGGTCAAAATGATCACAAGAACGGTGAGCAAAAATCCCAGAACCACACGGGGGGACCTAGTGAATGACCTGCAGAGAGCTGGGACCAAAGTAACAAAGCCTACCATCAGTAACACACTACGCCGCCAGGGACTCAAATCCTGCAGTGCCAGACGTGTCCCCCTGCTTAAGCCAGTACATGTCCAGGCCCGTCTGAAGTTTGCTAGAGTGCATTTGGATGATCCAGAAGAGGATTGGGAGAATGTCATATGGTCAGATGAAACCAAAATATAACTTTTTGGTAAAAAACTAAACTCGTCGTGTTTGGAGGACAAAGAATGCTGAGTTGCATCCAAAGAACACCATACCTACTGTGAAGCATGGGGGTGGAAACATCATGCTTTGGGGCTGTTTTTCTGCAAAGGGACCAGGATGACTGATCCGTGTAAAGGAAATAATGAATGGGGCCATGTATCGTGAGATTTTGAGTGAAAACCTCCTTCCATCAGCAAGGGCATTGAAGATGAAACGTGGCTGGGTCTTTCAGCATGACAATGATCCCAAACACACCGCCCGGGCAACGAAGGAGTGCCTTCGTAAGAAGCATTTCAAGGTCCTGGAGTGGCTTAGCCAGTCTCCAGATCTCAACCCCATAGAAAATCTTTGGAGGGAGTTGAAAGTCTGTGTTGCCCAGCGACAGCCCCAAAACATCACTGCTCTAGAGGAGATCTGCATGGAGGAATGGGCCAAAATACCAGCAACAGTGTGTGAAAACCTTGTGAAGACTTACAGAAAACGTTTGACCTGTGTCATTGCCAACAAAGGGTATACAGTGATCCCTCGCCACTTCGCGGTTCACTTATCGCGGATTCGCTATTTCGCGGATTTTCATAATGCATTTTTTTTTTTTTGGTGCATTGTGCTCTGCATTCTGATTCGCTAAAAACTCACTCCCGCTTCTTGTATCAAAACATGCTACGAATTGTGCTATCATTTTGTCGTCTCGTGCAGTTATGTGTACGTACATAAAACAGCTTGGCAAATTTACATTAAGTTGGCCAAATTATCTTGTAATTTCGAACATCTCCTAAACCCATAATGTCGACGAAACGGCCTGGACCGACAAAAGCACCTGCGGATGGGCCCAAACGGCGGAAGATGCTACCTATCTCAGATAAAGTTAAACTTCTGGACATGCTAAGGGAAGGTAAAAGCTATGCAGCCGTTGCTCGCCATTACGGAATCAATGAATCGAGAGATGAGGAGGAAGGACTAACGCTTGGTCGCTTAGCAACCATGGTGCGAATGGCCACTGAACTTAAGCGAGTAGCTGAGGAATGGGACCCTTTGATGAGCCGTTCATTACAGTTCTCCAACGTAATCGATGGTGGCATGTCGGTGTACAAGGATCTTTTTGCAAAGAAGAAAAAAGAGCGACAACAGCTGCCTATCACTATGTTCTTCTCCCGAACAAACACACCTGCACCGCGGGCTTCAGAAGAAGAGAACACTGCAGAGCGCAGTCAGGATGCAGCGGCCCAGTCTGAAGAGCAGTGAAACGGCCTACACGTGAGTCACTGTATTTGTATACATGTAATAGTTGCTAATTGTAAAAAAAAAAAAGTTTTCTATTTCGCGGATTTCACTTATCGCGGGTCATTTTCGGAACGTAACCCCCGCGATAAACGAGGGATTACTGTATAACAAAGTATTGAGAAACTTTTGTTATTGACCAAATACATATTTTCCACCATAATTTGCAAATAAATTCATTAAAAATCCTACAATGTGATTTTCTGGATTTTTTCCCCCCTCATTTTGTCTGTCATAGTTGACATGTACCTATGATGAAAATTACAGGCCTCTCTCATCTTTTTAAGTGGGAGAACTTGCACAATTGGTGACTGACTAAATACTTTTTTCCCCCACTGTAGCTATAGTTATGGTCCTGGTGTCCCCACTCCTCCCTCCCCCAGACTCACCCCCTTCAGTAGGTGTGCTGGTGCGCTCCCTCCCTGAGCCAGAGCCTCCTCTAGGACAGCTTCCCAGTCACCATGTTTCTTACGGACACCTGGACTCACATCACATTCATATATTGTGTACATCTTTATGCTGTTAATTCCTGTATATATGAAAAGCTTTAACAGCGTATTCCAATACATTTATTTGAGCACAGGGCCCAAACGGTCTACAGCAACACAAGCGTATATTGCCCTTAACCCCTTTGTCACCCCCTCCTCACCACAGGGCGGTCTCATTGGTCGCCCCTGCTGCCTACCCCACCCCAGAGGGTGGAGGTCAGAGGTCATGACGTCACACCAGAAGTCTGCTCGTCGGTCGTCATGGTAACCCTTGTAGCGCAGCAGCAGCAGTTGGCCACAGGTGGTGATGATAGTGGCCACCCAGTAGGGTTGGTCAGGCTCCGAACGCACACACACCTCCAGCCTCATCCCTGGAGTCAGCCCTGTCTGCAGGCTATGGTCCACCTGAGAGGGAGGGAAGGGGAAACACAACCATAATTAATGTGTGAGTGGATATACAATAAATAGGGCCCTGGCCAGGAAAAACTCTGGGCCCTAAATAATCAAATCAAATTTGATTTGCCACATGCGCCGAATACAACAGGTGTAGACATTACCGTGAAATGCTTACTTACAGCCCTTTAACCAACAATGAATTTATTTTTAAATAAAAAAGTAAAATAAAAAAATATAAGTACCATATCTGCAAATGGGCCCTGATGCAGTGAAATAAGACATACATGTTTGAAGGCGTGATGTGGAACCGCCAATACTCCATTCTCCTCCAGATATTCATCCCAGTTGAAGTCAGACTCCAGTTCAGAGCCCCCTGCTGAAAGACACACAAACGAATTTATAAAGACAGAAAAATACACCTGAATACACCACTGCCATTGAACCATTGTGAGACTCACCAGATTCCTGTGCCTCGGGGTTCATGATGCCCCCACTGTGTTCCCAACACCACCCAGAAGACTGTATTAGCAGTAGCTAAAACCACTTTGATGCAACTGAAAAAGATACAAAGTCAAGCTGTTAAATAAACACGTCTGTGTTTAGGGCCTGGTACTCAGTGGCTACTACACACTATACAGTTCCACTTCCAAGACTACAAAAAGGTTAGCAATCATGTAGATTTAGGTAGGTTGAAAGGAGAGTTGCATTTGGAAAGCTGTCCCTTTTGAATGTGGGACCTTCAGGCACGGCCGGCCCACTCATTAGGCAACGGTGGCATTTTCTGAGCTAAACTGTACATCACTCTCGGGCCAAGCTTCCTGCCATCCAGGACCTCTATACCACGCTGTGTCAGAGGAAGGCCCTAAAAATGGTCAAAGACTCCAGCCACCCTAGTCATAGACTGTTCTCTCTGCTACTGCACGGCAAGCAGTACAGGAGCGCCAAGTCTAGGTCCAAAAGGCTTCTTAACAGCTTCTACCCCCAAGCCATAAGACTCCTGAACATCTAATCAAATGGCTACCTGGACTATTTTTATTGTTCCCCCCACCCCTTATTTTACGCTGCTGCTACTCTCTGTTTATTATTTATGCATAGTCACTTTAACTCCACCTACATGTACATATTACCTCAATTACCTCGACTAACCTGTGCCCGGCACATTGACTCTGTACCGGTACCCCCTGTATATAGCCTTGCTACTATTATTTTACTGCTGCTCTTTAATTAATTTGTAGTTTTTAACTTCTCAATTTTTTTACTTAACACTTATTTTTCTTAAAACGGCATTGTTGGTTAAGGGCTTGTAAGTAAGCATTTCACTGTAAGGTCTACACAGGTTGTATTCGGCGCATGTGACAAATACAATTTGATTTGATTTGATTTTAACAACAAAACATAAAACCTCACATTTTGCCTCCCAAAAAATGACAATTTCTCTCAACTAGGTGAGCGCTGATGCCGTCCTATGATAAGCAGCGCCCACTTTGTCCATTCCCCGTGCGCCCCTCTAGTGTGCTGTTGGAGAAATGCATCGCTGCGACGTTCCACAAAAAAAATCATATTTTCTGTAGCTTACAGACTGGAGATAGAATGTATGACAATGTATTGAGACGGACACTTTTTCCATCATGCAGGTTTCTCCGATCAAATAGCCTAACCTAAATGTCGCCCAATCAAATATAAAATGCGCTGTCACGTTAACAAACATATCCTAAAAACAGACAGGTCAAAGTAAAATGGACAATATGGAATTGCCACTGTTGTCCAGGAGTTTCACCCCATTGACATGTTCAGTGGTTTGAAGTTTGTATCCGTACACGATAACTCCAAAAAAATTGGGTAGCTGATATTCAGAGTTTAAATAGCCAAAATGATTAGTCACAGGAATCATGACTAATAAAGCCAATGCAATGGCCTGTTTTACAAATGGCGGGCCTACCACATGGATGGGCATCCATAAAATTCCATTGCTGGCAGACATGGTAGGCTAAACACCAGTAAACACGAGCCAACGTCTTTTGGAAGTATTTTTTTTGTGGTGGTTTACAAACGGTAGGCTTATCACGACGTCGCCTTTTGGACGTCTTTTTTTTGGTGCAGTCTGGACCGGCCTTGATTTCCACATCCACAGACATTGGTTTTTGGTCCGTTTCGGAACAAATCTGAACCAATCATAGACGTCTATGTTTGCTTCAGATTTGGTGTGGTCCAGACCGGCCTTGATTTCAACATCCACAGACATGGATTTTAATCCGGTCAGGATTTCAACGTCCGAAAAATACATATTTTAAAAGTCTGGAAAATACATATTCTCCACGTCCGGAAAACAAGTATTTTAAACTTTCATTCATAACCGAAAACGAACCTGACTTCAACATCCGGAATATACGTATTTTTCAACGTCTGATGCTTTTTCAACGTCCTGGAAAATACGTATTTTCCCCCATAATTCAGAACCTAAATTGAACCTAACTTCAATTTCTGGAAAATACGTATTTTAGACGTCTTTTCAACGTCAACGTCAAAGATCGGCCCTGCCTTTAGGCGTTCTTTCTCTGTCCATCTCTCACTCTCTTGTAGGACAGGTGCTCTCTCCCTTCTCTGTCAGGGGAGATCAGTCTCAGGCAGGATTAGAGCCATGATTAAAGCAGGCTATCCGGCCTAGACCCATTCATACCACACACCCACACAGCCTTCGATCAGCCTGTGAGTTGTTGACATCTTCATCAATATGAGAAGTCATTAACTGAACTCACCCTGAGAAATCCCTGCCTGACTCCCTCCTCCGATAATGTCAATGTGACAAAGCAGTGACATCAAACGATGATCGCGATGTGTGTGTAAATCTTCACTTTTGAGGTTATATACTGCACTATAGCAGCCTCTGCCTCACGCCTGCAGTGACAGGTGTTCCCGCCAGTAGCTTAACGAGGTCCCATCTCAGAAAAGGGGTTGGTTGACCATGGCATTTCAAACCCAGCACAAAAATGCTAAAGCCAGCCTACACATAAATTAATATTTTGTTTATGTTTGGTTGCGAAAATGGATGTAAGACACTGTCTAGTATTGGTCACATATAGCCACATACTAGTGTGAAACAGTGTAACAGGCTGCACTGTATATTATATTACAATGTTACAAATGTTTACAATGTTACATCAGACGCTTGCATTGATACATCGCAAGCTAAACAACCATGAGCTAAAACACTCATCTCGTCAGACTTTTCAGGGAAAGTTTATGTCAGCATCAGCAATATGACAATCTGTTGATACAATCTTGCAGGCAAAGGCAACTTTAAATTGTATATTGTGGTCGTGATCAAGTAAAATTGAATTCACCACATTGAAAAGAAGAGAAAACAAAACCTGGCGTGCCTCTGACGGTTTTGCAATGTTTATCGTGGATATTAATCTGCGCAATGAAAATGATCGGGCGCGCGAAGCTAGCGCACCGTTTCCACTGTCCACGAGCAAGTTAGCAGCTGAAATGTCAAGTATGGGTATGGCGCTGCGTCCTCAATCGAGCACAAAACAGCTTCTTTAACACCAAGAAAAAACACACGTGAGCCACCAAGGCAGCTGAAAATACGTTTGCCCGTTAGTACATTGTAAATATTAGATAAGTATTTCATACACTTACGTGAATCTCACCTTTTCCTAGTTTTTCCAAGTAAATTTAAAACGTCGCCCTCTCTTGTTCTCTGCTTCCTTGCGATATGGCACGAACCTCAACTGCGCATGCTCGATCATTCACTTTTTCAACCTGGGGCTGTCAAGAGGAAAAGGCGTCCCGCACAGAAGGACTTGTTCATATATTTCAGCGATTAGAGGGAAAATATGAACATACTCTGCCCAAAACATTGTGTTGTCTTTGTTTCAACTACAAAAGCATATCTAAATCAATTCAACAAACACATCCTGCGAACAAACAACGACGCGCTGTCAAGGATAAGCATAAAGAAAATAGGCCTACACAGCCTGTCGTCGTGAGCCATGCAATACATTATACAGCACTAGTTGGCTAGTTAATGCAAAAAAATGCAATTCAATACCCTCTTTTTTGACTTGTCCGCATAAATTCTCTATAGCCTAAATGCAACTTTTTATTTGTATGGTATATTTCTGTAGGCCAAAAGACTAAGTTGGTTTAGACACGGCAGGTAGGACATTTTGGATTCCCTATGACTATAGACTTTTTTTCTTCTCGCAGGGTGGAGACTCCAGCAGTAAGTAGGTCTTCTCCGTTTCCATGGCAACAGCATCAAGAGACGCGCGAAAGGATAGATGTGGGGTGGTGGGAAACTGGACGCAATTACTTCCATTGAATTTCAATTATTGATACTAGACAATATTCGTTGCCATCATGCAGAGTAAATTGGTAGATACATTGCATGCGCTTTCTGCAAAACTAAACTGTACTATTTAGCTATGTTTTTGACAACAATATGGGACAACAAGATGCCCTAATGCACTATGTAATCTGGCCTAGGCTACAACAAAACAATCAGCCAAAATCCACCTGTGATGTTATTAATCAAAACCTAAATTTGGTTACAAAATACCTCTCAAGCATAAAAAAACAATAACGTGCAGGTGAAACAGTGTTTTCAGTGCTTGTTCCAATGACTGTAGACTTGCTCACACACAGGTAACGGCCAAAATAAAGAAAACACTTGAGTAAATGAGGGATACAAAGTATATTGAAAGCAGGTGCTTCCACACAGGTGTGGTTCCTGAGTTAATTAAGCAATCCCATCATGCTTAGGGTCATGTACAGTGAGGGAAAAAAGTATTTGATCCCCTGCTGATTTTGCACGTTTGCCCACTGATAAAGACATGATCAGTCTATAATTTTAATGGTAGGTTTATTTGAACAGTGAGAGACAGAATAACAACAACAAAATCCAGAAAAACACATTTCAAAAATTTTATGAATTGATTTGCATTTTAATGAGGGAAATAAGTATTTGACCCCCTCTCAATCAGAAAGATTTCTGGCTCCCAGGTGTCTTTTATACAGGTAACGAGCTGAGATTAGGAGCACACTCTTAAAGGGAGTGCTCCTAATCTCAGCTTGTTACCTGTATAAAAGACACCTGTCCACAGAAGCAATCAATCAATCAGATTCCAAACTCTCCACCATGGCCAAGACCAAAGAGCTCTCTAAGGATGTCAGGGACAAGATTGTAGACCTACACAAGGCTGGAATGGGCTACAAGACCATCGCCAAGCAGCTTGGTGAGAAGGTGACAACAGTTGGTACGATTATTTGCAAATGGAAGAAACAAAATAACTGTCAATCTCCCTCGGCCTGGGGCTCCATGCAAGCTCTCACCTCGTGGAGTTGCAATGATCACGAGAACGGTGAGGAATCAGCCCAGAACTACACGGGAGGATATTGTCAATGATCTCAAGGCAGCTGGGACCATAGTCACCAACAAAACAATTGGTAACACACTATGCTGTGAAGGACTGAAATCCTGCAGTGCCCGCAAGGTCCCCCTGCTCAAGAAAGCACATATACAGGGCCGTCTGAAGTTTGCCAATGAACATCTGAATGATTCAGAGGAGAACTGGGTGAAAGTGTTGTGGTCAGATGAGACAAAAATCGAGCTCTTTGGCATCAACTCAACTCGCAGTGTTTGGAGGAGGAGGAATGCTGCCTATGACCCCAAGAACACCATCCCCACCGTCAAACATGGAGGTGGAAACATTATGCTTTGGGGGTGTTTTTCTGCTAAGGGGACGGGACAACTTCACCGCATCAAAGGGACGATGGACGGGGTCATGTACCGTCAAATCTTGGGTGAGAACCTCCTTCCCTCAGCCAGGGCATTGAAAATGGGTTGTGGATGGGTATTCCAGAATGACAATTACCCAAAACACGGCCAAGGCAACAAAGGAGTGGCTCAAGAAGAAGCACATTAAGGTCCTGGAGTGGCCTAGCCAGTCTCCAGACCTTAATCCCATAGAAAATCTGTGGAGGGAGCTGATGGTTCGAGTTGCCAAACGTCAGCCTCGAAACCTTAATGACTTGGAGAAGATCTGCAAAGAGGAGTGGAACAAAAACCCTCCTGAGATGTGTGCAAACCTGGTGGCCAACTACAAGAAACGTCTGACCTCTGTGATTGCCAACAAGGGCTTTGCCACCAAGTACTAAGTCATGTTTTGCAGAGGGGTCAAATACTTATTTCCCTCATTAAAATGCAAATCAATTTATAACATTTTTGACATGCGTTTTTCTGGATTTTTTTGTTGCTATTCTGTCTCTCACTGTTCAAATAAATCTACCATTAAAATTATAGACTGATCATTTCTTTGTCAGTGGGCAAACGTACAAAATCAGTGTGGGACCAAATACTTTTTTCCCTCACTGTATAAAAATGCCCAGTTGCCCATTATTTTGGCTACCATGGCTAAAAGAGGAGATCTCAGTGACTTTGAAAGAGGTGTCTGTGTATGTGAGATCTCAACCCAATTGAACACTTATGGGAGATTCTGGAGCGGCGCCTGAGACAGAGTTTTCCACCACCATCAACAAAACACCAAATTATGAATTTCTCTTGGAAGAATGGTGTCGCATCCAATGTTCTCTCAAAACATTTTCAGCACTGATCAAATGTCAGGTCTGCTGAGCGCAAACCTGAACGTTGTGAAAATTCTGTCCAACTTCCAGCGCACGTTTACTGTGAACACAGGCTGTACCGCTTTAAGTTACAGTTTCAGACAGTGGTCAAGTAGGCTACTGTGGCTATTTGATCATAATGTAGGCCTACCAGGGTTAATGGAGAAAATGCATCCCATAACATTTTAACATGGAAATAGCTGTTCTATCATTCAGCCTACAATGGCGTTCAATGTAGGCCTACATTCCATGAGACTTTTGAAAAAAACATGCAGGGCTTGACATTAACCTGTTTATCCACTTGTCCTTTAGACAAGGTCACTGAAAATGTTGTGTTTGATGCAAGAAACCACTTAAAAAAATTCATTATTATTCCCATACCATTATTACAGAGAATCAGACAAATGATGCAACCCTCTGCCTATTGACTACTTAGCTTATTCAAGCCTGTCTCAAAATAAATACAACACTGCCCCTTTAAGACCAAAGAAAAATTCTCTTTACCTGACTCTCTTTTCAAAGATGTCTAGAAATGTACACGTTTTGAGCTCTTGTAGGAAGCAATCACTCCCCCATTGCTGACTACAAATGAGCTATAACTGGGCAAATAACTCACCGCTCATGCTGTAAACAGTCCAGTTCAAAGAGAATGGCACAGGTTCATATATTGCAATGGTCTATCAGCATATAGGCTGACTGCAGTTCTGATTGGTTATGCTGCACCGGTCTGTGTAGAGTACGGGCTGAGTCGTACTCCATAGTTATTTTTGCATACTAAGTCTTACATAGTTAATTTTGTTTTGGTACATTGCACTGAAAGTGGCTAATATTGCGTTGATTCGATCACAATTCCCACAGTAAAGGGAAACGTTGATAGTGTTAAGGGGGGAAACTTTAGAAAGTTCTAGCACGGGCTGATATTTCTTCTGCGCGGCAGTCCCGGGAGCTGCGCGCCTGCATGCAGTTTAGAGGGAACATTGGTCACATCCCTCCAAGAGAGTTCCAGACACCTGTAGAATCTATGCCAAGGTGCCTTTATTTTGGCAGTTACCTGTACATACGCACAAATACACACTCACACACTTACACACTCACACACTCAGGAACAATTACACCGTTTTTGCCAGTGAGCTGCTCATTCTGACTTCACCCTCAGTTCATGACTGGGTTCCTTACAATTGCAGCGGTTTCCACATTCCCTTCCAAGTCACTGTCTTCAGCTCTATCCATCCTTCTGCCATTCTGTCTATCACTCCTTTCCTCTCTGCCATTGTAGCTGGCAGGTTAATATAGGTCCTTATCTTTCCTCTGCTGGGCAGGTTTAGGTGTGTTTCTTCCCATAGCGAGGTAACAGCTGAGTCTGAACAAATTGAACAAGTTTGGTCTCCGTGAGAAGAACGGTGACATGTACACCCAGTAGACACCCGGCCCCCACAGCGATGTGAACCAGCCTTAGTAACCATCCGCCGTCACAACAGAACACACCCTGAAACAACAGAGTACAGACAGATGGGAGTGAGAGGAATCTGATTCTATGGTAAACAAATACACAGAAATAAGACAATCTGTCTCACTATTATCTCAGAGTATGTGGTAAGCATAGACATATAGTTTATATTCTAACTCCCATTTCTATGGTGGTAAGATATAAACAATAACTATTTTATTAACTGTCAAAGACAGAAGTAAGTATGATTGGCTGATATGTGATACAGTATGTGGTGTGTACAGTAAAGCAGTGAGGTGAACAGTGTGGTACCTCAGAGGGCTGTGAGGACTGTGCTGAGAGCAAGAGCCAGTAGCACGAAAGGGGAGGGCCTCAAGCCGCGCAGGGGCATCCACTGGCTGGACAGGAAGTAGTGGTGGATGTAGAGAAGGCTGTGGACGAAATGCAGGCCCATGTTCAGACAGTTAGCCAGGATGAAGCAAATGCCCCCTGCCCACCATGTCAGCATGTAAGACAGGGGCAGGAAGGAGATGGACAGAGCCAACATCACCAGGTTATACCTGGGGACAGACAAGAGGGCAGCGTAAGCAACTTGATACACTCTGTGTGTGTGTGTGTGTGTTAGCCTGCCTTCTCTCACCTGTCGACCTCTTCTTTGCTCATGGCAGTGAAGACAAAGCACTCAGTCACTCCATTAATGGCTAGCAGGAGTACATAGGAGCTGTAGCATAGCAATACTGGGCCCTTCAATATAACACACATATCATTACACAACCACTCACATAAAACCAGTAGCTTGAGGAATTGGATCATTCAAATCATTGCTGAATGAGTTCTGTAATCTCTCTATAATTTGACTTGATTATGGTGGTTGACTCACTTGATTCATCGACTCACTTGTTTAGCTGACCCACCTGCGCCATTGCTCAATAGTGATCCCCCATAGAGGTCTAGAGCCAGGTGAGAGTAGTCGTAACCAAACACTGATGATGAGACCAATCACAAGCACCAGCTTCAGCAGACACTCCAGAACCTCAGCTGCTATGGCAACCTCCTCATGCAGACCAATCAGCAAGCAGCATCAATGCACATGCATGAGCTATTAGGTGTGTATCAGCCAACTTTACAAATGGTGAAATGAGTGACAGGTATTTGATTGGCTGACTCTGCTCTCTGACCTGTTTCTGCTGCCTGACATCCCGTCCCCTCAAGGACTTTGATGAAGAAGACATAGAAGCTCTCCTCGATAGGCAGGAAGATGAAGCGGACCACCATGGAGCCCAGGTCGTTGACGATGTCATACACACTCTGCTCCCCGAAGCTCAGCACGTTGAGGAAGGTCATGATGTAATGCTCACCCTCCGTCAGGATCTGCTTTAGGAATGACTGCTTGAAGAAGCTCCACGTCAGCCTCGCCAACGTCCAGTCAATCACCGGCTACAAACACACACAGCGGGATGACATCTCAAACACAGTTGTGACCCGATGTAGTATATGAATGAATGAACCAATCAATCAACACATTTATGTCAGTTATTATGACCAATTGCTTTCGGGTATACTGTATACTAGGTCAGTGAGGAGTGTATGCGGTGAGTGAAAGAGTTAGCGCTTAGGGTTGTTGTGGTGAATGTTACCTCTCCTTTCACTCTGGAGGGCAGCAGGTCTGCCACACGCTGCAGGGGGAAGAACTTCCTGTTTGCCTCCCCAGAGCCCAGGAAACGCAGGAAGTAGACAACATAGCACAGTACCAGGAACCCTGTGAAAACCAGCTACGAAGGACATGACAGTTAATAACAGTTAGCTTAGTAGACACTCGTCCACAGTTACTTATGAGGGTTGCATCATGAAATACCATTTTAATCTATACAGATCAATATTTACTAACAACATTACTTATTATAATGTTAATATTACTTCATGACCATAGCCTCTATGTACACACAACCCTCTTCAACCTTCTGAGTACAGCTTCGTCTGACTACACCCTCTGCACCTATCCTCTTTCCCTGACTACACCCTCTGCACCTATCCTCTTTCCCTGACTACACCCTCTGCACCTATCCTTTTAGTTTTCTTGCACCTTATTTGTGGAACAATCTTCAAAATGTTCTTACATTTGATGTTTTGGTGTCTCTAGGGCAATTCAGAAGGCTGATTGAGGAGGACCTTATTACTGATAAATGTGTTTGTTTTCTATGACCATGTTGTTCTTTCTGCTTGCATTTTGTATTTACATTGATATGTGTATTTTCTGTAATTCAGGGCTCATCTGTAAAAGAGACCTTGGTCTCAGTATGACTCCCTGATAAAATAAAGGTAAAATATATTGTAGCAGATCAGGGGTTTGGGTCAAGACGTTTACACAGAGCAGACACGGACAGAGTATGATTAGTTCGGTTTCAAGGGTGTTTATTAATAAAATAATCAAAAGAAAAGGTGGCTGACCTGCTGTACACCCCCCCTTAGATCTGTCGGGGAGGGGACGGTCATCAGTGCAACGTCTGTCTCCCTTCTCGATAGGGCATCCGCGTTTCCATGCTTCGCCCCTGACCTGTGCACATCAGAAAAAGAGAAGCGTTGAAGGGACAAGAACCACCTGGTGACCCGATCGTTTGTGTCTTTTCCCCTGGCCATCCAGACCAGGTGAGCATGGTCCATGACCAGGGTGAAGTGTATACATAACAGGTAATACTTGAGAGTGTCTAGCCCCCACTTCACCCCCAGACACTCTTTCTCAACAATTGAGTCTTTTTTCTCTCTCGGTATCAGCTTTCTGCTGATGTACATGATGGGGTGCTCCTCCCCATCGTGTATCTGGGACAGAACGGCCCCTAGTCCCGTATCACATGCATCAGTCTGGACCACCATCGGCACCTGGAAATCGGGCGTTACGAGAATCGGATGGGAGCACAGTGCTTCCTTCAGACGGCTGAACGCCGCTTCTGTCTCGTCCGTCCATTTCACTGTTTTCGGGAGTCGGGCCCTGGTTAGATCAGTGAGGGGGGAAGCTATAGCCGCAAAGTTGGGGATAAACCGGCTATAGTATCCTGCCAATCCCAGGAAGGACTTGAGCTGCGTGGAACGGGCCAGTCACGTACCGCGTGAACCTTCCTCTCCTGAGGCTTGACGTTCCCCCGTCTGATCAAATACCCCAGGTACTCCACCTCCTCAAACACTAGCTTGCATTTCTTGGGGTTTGCGGTCAATCCGGCTTGTCTGAGCGCGTCCGGCACCGCCTGGAGGCGCGTCAGGTGCTCCTACCAACCTTGGCTGTGGATGATGATATCATCCAGATAGGCCGCTGCGTACTGCTGGTGGGGTCGAAGCACTCTGTTCATCAGTCGCTGGTATGTGGGCGGGGCTCCGTGGAGACCGAACGGGAGCACCCGGTACTCGTATAGACCTTCTGGTGTCAAGAACGCCGTCTTCTCCCGGGAGGAGCCTGCCAATGGTAACTGCCTATATCCTTTGGTCAGGTCAAGGGTGCTGATGTACCGGGCCTTTCCCAATCGGTCGATTAGCTCGTCCACCCTCGGGATGGGGTAGGCGTCGAATACGCTTATGTCGTTCACACACCGGAAATCATTACAGAAGCAGAGGCTACCGTCCGGTTTGGGCACCAACACGATGGGGCTGCACCATGCACTGTGGGCTGCACCATGCACTCTTCAACGACCCCCATCCTCAGCATAGCCTCCACTTTTCACAGCCTTCCGTCGGGCCTCCGGAATTCGATACGGCCTCTTTTTTACCGTTTCCTCGGGCCGGGTACGGATGTGATGTTCAATGAGGGTCGTGCGGCCCGGCTTCTCGGATCGACAAGCTCCCGGAGCCCTTGCTTTTGGGCCGGGTCGAGGTCCTCACTGCTCGGGACCACCACTGGTACCGTTGGCATCCTGGGTCCCGAATATAACACGGCCAAGGCTGTCTTCTCGTGCCACTTCTTCAAAAGGTTCACGTGGTAAATCTGTTGAGGTTTCCGTCTCCCCGGTTGCCGTTCGCGGTAGTTGACAGGTCCCAGTTTCTCATCCACCTCGTATGGTCCGTGCCATGTTGCCAGGAATTCTCGGGGCTGGGCTCCCCGATTGTAGACCTGGGTTTGGGCGCGTTGGGCCTTCTCCATATGTTCCCTCACGACTGGCCATATGGCCGTCATCCGCTCCCGCATCATCTCCACGTGCTCTACCACGCTGCGTAAGGGGGTTGGGCTTCCCACACCTCCTTGGCGAGGTCCAGTAGGCCACGTGGCCTCCTCCCATAGAGGAGTTCAAACAAGGAAAACCCAGTGGAGGATTGGGGTACTTCTCGGATTGAGAACATTAGGTGGGGTAGCAGCTGGTCCCAGTTCTTCCCGTCCTGCTCGATGACCTTCCGCAGCATCTGTTTGAGCGTTTTGTTAAAGCGCTCGACGAGCCCATCCGTCTGCGGTTGAAAAACTGAGGTCTGGATCTGCTTGATCTGCATGAGGGCACACAACTCTTTCATGAGGCGGGACATAAACTCTGTATCTTGGTCTGTCAGGATCTCGTTTGGGATGCCCACCCGGCTAAAGAGGTGGAACAGCTCCCAGGCGATTCCCTTGGATACAGCCGCCCGTAGGGGAATGGCCTCGGGATACCGGGTGGCATAGTCTACTATTATCAAGATGTACCTGTGTCCTCGTGCAATCTTTACCAGGGGTCCCACCATGTCCATGGCGACCCGTTCCCGGGTCTTCTCCATTCCCAGGTGCGCCCCCAACAGGTGGGTGTGGGCCAGCTGAAGAACGGTTCCTACGTACCGTCGGGGCAGCAACAATACCTCTCGAAGCTCCCCCTGTTGGCGCGACACCTGATACAAAAGGTTATTCTTAATTTGGAAATGGGGGTATCGCCAGTCACTCACCCCCGGAAGTAGCTGTCCATCCATCGCTAACACTTGGGCTGCGGCAGCTTTCAAATTTGGATCCTCCCACTGGGCCGTCCCGAATCAATTGGCCCCCAACGGGGGTCTCGATTGGCCCCTCGAAATCGAGAAGGGGGAGGCTGGGCTCCTCATCCAGTGATTCCCCAGGGGGTTCGGGTTCCGGCTCCCCCTCCGGACCTGTAGAGTCAGGTTGGTTAACCGGTGGTGTCCTGGCCGCACAGGCGAGGGGTCGTCCCCGCTCTCTTCTTCGGCCGGCTCGTATATATTTTTTCAACTCGTGCCCCCATAGGGCCGCGAACAGCGGACAGTCCCGTTCCACTAGGATAGGTACCGGCAGCTCTGGTACTGCACCTACCATCATCTGGCAGCTCCCTTGTGGTGTCACGATGTTGGTCCATACGGCGGGATACCGCTTTGTGTCACCATGAACACAGGAAATGGACATCTCACTACCCCGTTCGGTCTCCTGGTTCAGCAGTCTAATAGCGCTTCCGTGTCGTGTCCGTCAACCTTCACCAGGACCATGGGTGCAGTTGATTCATGGTGCGCCCAACAGGAGGTGACATAGGTGTGACCCACCTGGCCTCCGGTGCTAGCTGATGGCATCGACTCCTCTCGAGCATGGCAATTCCAGGCAATGTGCCCCCGGGCGCCACACTCAAAACACCTCCGTTGGTCTCCATCTACCTGGGGTCGTCGGTGGTGGGTCGGCCCTTCCCCAGCCATCTCTCCACGGGTTTGCGGTCCCTTGGCCCTGCCGACTGTCGGTTCGGGGTACACCGCGGTGGGGTTGTCCTTCCGTCCCCTCGCCCGGCTCCCGCTCAGTAGGGCCTGAGTGTTCTGATGCGTCTCCACTGCTTCCAGGAGGCCCTCCAAGATCTGGGGCGCACATAGGCTCGCTGCCTTCTTCATGTCGTGGGGTAGCGCCCGTACGAAGCGATCCAGGACTACTTTGTCGAGGAGGGAGAGGGTGGATCAGTCGGTTAGGAGCCATGCCCTGGTGACGCGCAGAAGGTCGCTTATCTGGGCTCGGGGGGATGCGTCGGGTACGAACCTCCAGTCGTAGAACCGTTGAACCCGATGGGCCAGGCTGTACCCGTAGCGGCTGAGTATCTCCCGTTTGAGTCCGTCGTAGTTAGCCGCCTGTTCGTCGTTCAGGTCCCAATACGCCTTTTGGGCATTCCCAGAGAGGAACGGGGCCAGCAGACTTGCCCACTTCGGCCTTGGCCATCCTTCCCGTAGCGCTGTCCGTTCAAACGTACAGAGGTATGTTTCGATGTAATCGTCTTCCGTTAGCTTGATTAAAAACTGGTTGGGATGGGATTCAGGAGACGCTCCTCCTTGCAGCTTCCTGACTTCCTCCACGAGGCGGACGTTTTGTAGTTGCTGTTCCTCCAGCATTTGTTCCTGAACCGCCTGTTGTGCTTGTTGGGCCCGGACGAACTGAGCTATCAACTCGTCCATGCTGATGCTGTGTAAACGTCAACCCTGATCTGACCATGTTATCAAAGTGCCCGCATTCTCCACCACTTGTGGCAGATCAGGGGTTTGGGTCAAGACGTTTACACAGATCAGACACGGACAGAGTATGATTAGCTCGGTTTCAAGGGTGTTTATTAATAAAATAATCAAAAGAAAAGGTCTCCCCCCTGAGACCCTCTCCAGGATACCGTCTCCAACTACACGGAAGTTACCTTACTTCCCCCAGTCCTCTCTCATGTGCTGCCCTTCTGGCAGCTTTATGGGCCTTGCACAGCTGGTGAGCAATCCACCCTTAATTACTCACCAGCTCCCAATCAGCCCCAATTAGTCCTGTCCGGGGAGCCCGTCGAGAGCAGATGGAGCCACCGCCTCGTGATGTATT